AGCCTCAAGTTGAGGGCTCTTCCCTCTGGGCCCTCTGTCCCGCATTGGGCACCCAGGGAGCTCCTATGGGAACTGAGCTCTCACTGGCTTCAGTTCTCCAGTCTCATGCCGGTTCCTGGGTCTCATGCCAGGGGTCCTTCCCTTTCCCAGGCCCTGCTCTGGGCACCAGAGCTCTTTTAGTTTAATACTGAGCCACACTGCAGGGCTCTGGCTTTCTGGCCTAGAGCCGGGCCTAACTTGAGCAGTCTCAAGCTGCTCCCAGGACTGGCTCTCCGTGCGCTGACCTGCGCACTGTGTGTGGCCTGAGCAGCCTTGAGCAGCTCCCAGGCCTGACTCTCTGCACTGATCCACGCACTGTCGAGGCTCAGGCGGGGTCCAGATGATGGTCTTCTATTCAGCTCCTCTCTCCTTGCCATCCCTTACTGCATCTGCCCAGTGTGCTGAGCATGCTAGGCTTTTATTTACACTGGAAGCCCCGCCCCGAAGTCTTCTTGACCTGCAAAGCACAGTCTTCAATCAGGTCCAGGTGCTTCTTGCACCCCTCCCCTCTGAGCAGAGGCAGGGCAAGCCCCTCCCAGCTGTTACCTGATTCGTGGAAATGTTCTTCCAATCCAAAGTGTCCTTCTCCACGCCAGGCTTGCCAGGCAAAAGCAGCAAGCCCACCACAACCGTTTCTTCCCCTTAGCTTAAGCTCCCTATTCTCTGTTTGGGGTTTATAACTGCCTGCAGGTCCTCCTCAAGCTGCTAGCCACCCACAGCTGGGTCTCTACCACTGGCTGTCTGCTACCACTTAAAGGGCCAAACCACCCTTTTATAGCACCTCAGAGAGTCATCATTCTAGCCCAACTCCTAGTCAAGGCTGGACCCTCTGGGATAAGTGTTTGCACTTAAAAACTTTCATTGCTGAAGATCCCACAACCTCTATCGCTAATCTATTCCAGCATTTAACCACCTACATACTCCAATGTCCAACCTAGATCTCCCTTGTTGTAATTCAAAGCTTATTTGGTTAAGGAATAGTTGGTCATCATCCTCTTCATAACAACCCTAACCCCTCTTTTTATTTATTTTAAGACTGTTTTCAAGTCCTATTTAAATTGTAAGTTTTTTGGTGCTTAAGGCTATCTTTCACTGTGTTTGTACAGTGTGCTGTACAAGGGGGCACTTATCTTAGCTGGGACAACTCAACTACCCAACTACTGGCTGCCTAGGTAAATTTAGGCAAATTGCTTCACAGTATCTGTGAAATAGGGAAACTTACACTTATATATCACTGTATACTTGATATATCACTGATATATCACTGTTATATATCACTGGGATCTTTGGACAAAATGTGAGAGAAAAGAGCTGATGCTGCTGATGTAGTAACTTTCAGGCAACCAGGGCTTATACCATCAGTGGCCCCATACTGTTCAGGCCACAACAGGGTGAACCACAGGTGCCCCCTGACTGCACTGTGCACAACAGACACCTTCAGCTCCCTAGCTATGGGCTCCTCTATTGCACCACACTGCATGGGCACCCCAAGGCTGTGGGCCTTCCTAGTGCTGTAGTCTGCAGTGCATCACCCTGCTCCATGGGGTGGAGGCAGGAAGTAGAAGCTGGAGGAAGGAGGAAGAGCCCAAAGCCCATGGCCCATGACTTACTTCAAACACAGTGATGGGGCTGGGGGGAAACAGTGGCTGGGTGGGAGCCTGAGGATCACAAATTAACTTTGTGATCGTCATGCAGCCTGCAGGCCACCAGTTAGACAACCCAGAGGTAGCATACTAATGCATGGCTGAATCTGAATGCTTCTGGAGCTTGTATCTATGCACTGTGGACATAGATATACATACTATCCTGGGTTACAATACAGTCCTATCTTTATTAAAGCTTCGTTGTTGAACTTCCTTACTATCTCTTTGCTAGTCCTGTTCTTGAGCTGTCACGCTAGCTAGCTGCCTGTCAGCTCTATTCCTATGTGTAAATCATGTGCTATTTGTTCCTTCTGCTACAGTTGAGTTAAACTGTCACCAAAGATTAATCATCTAAAACCAAGACTCCAAATGGCTGGGAACAAATATATGCCTTGGCATTTCCTTTACCTTTTAAAAAAATATATATTTTAAGACTTTTTTAGTCTAAGGCCTTTCTCTCTGTATCTCCCTCAGACATCTTCAACATTTGAGAGAAATAGAGATGCTGGCAATTTAAATTATCATATACTTCCTGTGAGGTCCAACTTCTTTCTCTTTAGAAGGAGCTGTTAGTGCCCCATCCTGTGAAGGGTTCAGCCCCCTGTGCAAGCTGAGGACATTCAGATCTGAAAGACGTGCAATTTACCACAATCTAAATAGTCTCTTTAAATTGTAGCTATCAAGAAATCTGATCTAGTAATTATTATGTATTTGACAGTAGTAGAAAGACCTCAGCCAGGATCAAGGTGCCATTGTGTGAAGTGCTGTGTGTATGCGCGTGCGCGCGCACACACGCGCACACACACACACACACACACACACACACACACACACACACACACACAGAGCCATAAAATCATAGGGTTACAAGGTGCATGAAAGGTACGTAGTCCACCCCTGCTAGTCAACTATAACTAGCACTTATGTGCTATATGGGCTAGACAGACAAACAGTAAGAGGAGAAACAGTGGCACAGAGAAGTGAACAGATTTGCCCAAGATCATAGAGCCGGTTAGCGGTAGAATTTGAAACAGCATGTGGAGATTAAATTTTTCAAAGCACCTACATGATTTAGGAACCACAATCCCATTTTTAAAAGTAGGACCATGTAAGTTTAGAGAAGTTTAGTGGGGGTTAGGCTCCTAGGGCACTTTTTAAGTAGAACTCTGTCTCCTAAATCACTTAGGCACTTTTGAAATTTTTATCTTAGGTTTGCCATCCTCTGGATCACACTACAATGAACAGATATGTAGCCCCACTGTCAGTCCTTGTTGTATCTTCACAGTATTTCATCTGAGTCACTGCTCTTAGCATGCCATCCAGAGCAGTCATTCCCTTTTCAATGGCTTTTACAGCAGAAGGAATCCATGCCCAAGTCAAGATGGACCTTTTTCCCATTCAGTTGTTTTGTTCTAAAACCACTAGGTGGGAGTAACAGAATGTTCCAATCAGTTTTTCTTTTAGATATGCCTAAAGTAGCACAATGTGGTACTTCAGATGTGGACTAAATGGTTTTACTTCTAAAACTTCTAAAAATATGCTGACATTTGAATGTAAAGGAGTAGCATATCATAGTTAAACTAAATATACTAAAATAAATCCTACAAGAAAACAAAACATAAGTGTTCATACACATCAGCTTTTAGTGACACTATCAATGCACATTTGCTGTTAGCTATCATTTATCACTTTCTCCCATTTTCTCTCTCAACTGTTCCTGTGGGTTCATTCAGAACTTACAGTTGCTTTGCCTTTACTTTTGAAGGATACAAGAAAAAATATAATATTTCTTTATTCTAATTTCATATTCATCATATACTGTCTGGCTACCAGGGATGAAAACAGAGAGACCTAAACTACATTGCCCTGAAAAGGAAGTTCTACTCCACAAGGACCTTTTTCATGAGCAATCCATTTTCCCCAGAAGGCTATTAGCACCCTACTGCTAAAAAGGTGAAAACTCTCTTTCTTAAATGGTAACTTAAAAAAGACCAAAATCTTAATCTCTCTTAAAATATTAGAGTCATTATAAAGAATAGGCATCACAGCCTCAGATCAGCATCTGTACTCAAACTTGAAGTTTAAATGTGACTGGAGATGGGATTTGGTTTAAAACTGGTTAAAAAGACTAAATGTTTTTGTTTTGCAGCAGAAAATCTATTTTTTGACAAAAAATATTGTTAGATCCCCTAATATTCAGAAAAAAATGAATTGGGTCTTTGTGTGATATGTTTCTTCTAAAATTCAAACATTTTTACTAGGTCTACTTCCATTTCAGATTAGAACCCATGTATGCAGTTTGTATCAGTCTAAACATGGCCCAAAACTTGGGATGAAGGATTCATGCTAGGAATTTTGGTTAGGGTGTACTGCTGGGGAATGATTACAATAAATATGTATATTTATTCAAAAACAGAGGTGTGTACGTATTCCATAGTTGTGAAAATGTTCATAATGCACCCGCTCCTCTTACTCCCACTAAATCCATTAAGTTTAACTCATTTAGGGTTTCAAACTTCAACAGATAGGTTGAAATGTTTGCATCAGTCCATACATTTTTTGAGTTAACCTGGGTCTATTTTCAAGTTGGTCCCAAACATGTTTCAAGCAAAGCAAGGCCACAATTTTGTGTAAGCATCAGTCTTCTGAATAGGAGGTTCATGTGATTTTGATGCAATGACAGATAATATGGCATTTTCACTAAGACTTCTTGCAAGCTGAACACAGTAAATTTGTGGGACACCAGCACACACAGGTCAAACCCAAAGCTCATGTTAGCAGTGGTCTGAATATACTGATGATTCTACCAAACTATTTGATTTCTACTGCAGCTGCATATGCTGCAGGCTACTTTCCAGCCCTACATCGCTGGGTGTAAGGCAGAGGTAACTGGGTGAAATGCTGTTATGCAGGGATAATAAGGCAATTTCCCTGCAATGATCAGCAAGCAGCAACTTGTGGTTCAGGAGCAATGGGGGTGATGAAATAAATTCCCTACATTACTCATCCTGTCTTGAGCTGGGGTGAGGGAACCCTTGCCTCAGAGCCTGTGTGCGCTCAGGGTGGGGTGCCCTCAGGCTGAGGTGACACTCTACTCATCCCTCTGAGGGGCTTTGCTGGAGTATCAAGGGATTCCCACCTGGAACATGGAAGGGGCAGGAAGCAAGGGAGGAGGAGGTGGAACAGCTGCAGCCTGTTGAAGTGGTGGCAAACAGCTTGGCTGGCTGGCTGGCTACCCTGGGGGTGGGAGGTTCCTAGCTCAGTAGCAGCAGCAGCAGCAGTCCTGACAGTAACTGGGCTTAATGCCTGGTAGGGACCATGAGACCTGTCAAATCAACTGGCTCTGGGCTCCGAAGCCTCCTCAGTTTATTGGTAGGTAAACTGCATAGATCCTATTGCTAGTCTACATACAATTCAACATCAAAGAACTATTAAGAGTAGTGCACTGTGGTGCTATTGCTTATTACTGATGGCTCCTGATTCATTCTATCTGGCTAATATAAAGAAATAATTGATTATACTCTATTCCACTAATACAGAGAAGACAAAAAGCAGAATCTCTTAAAATAATATATTGCATTCCGATAACATACAGAAAAATAATAAAATATGTTATCCTAATGTATTTCATCCTATTTTACTCATTTATAGAATAATAATAGCATAATACATTAGCAGAAGGCATCCTATTCTATTTATTCTATTCCAATAATGTATAGAATAATAATAATGAGAAGAATAGATTCTGTTCTTTTTCTAGTATACAGAATAATAGCAAACTGTTTTCAGAATATATTCTATTAATATAATGTAACATATCCTGCTGCTGTGTACCCAGTGTCCGTTAATAATGAAACTTTTTCATGCTACTGAGTAGGTTGATTAATAAAACATATTGTTATTAAAGCTTATATTTGTATAATATGTTATCATATGTGTATATTTAACATATTAACTATTTAAGATATTAAAAAGAGGTTCTAAATAGAAACTTAAGAAATTTAACTACAATGAAGAGAGAGTTTGAAGGGGTTTTGAAATGACACAATCTAACTGCAGATGCTACTGGAACCCTCAGCTGCCTCTTCTTTATAGGTTGCATTTTCTGAGTCTCCCTGATTGTTTTATGAATGATTTGGGGGATGGGGGAGCAGAATAGGGCTAAAATCCATCTGTGACCTAGTTTGTGAGCATTAAGGTTATTCCTGGCTGTCATCTTTGTTCCAGAAAGCTGAAAAAGACCTACAAAATGTCAGGTTTTGTTTGTGCATTTTTTTAAATAAAAGAATGGCAGACTTTGCATAGGGGAAAAATATCCTAGGCTTTTATATACGTATCTGTTTGTCTTTCCACGGCAGGTGTTATTAGTGGAGGGATGGCATGATCTGGATAACAAAGACTATGACTGCTGGCCCTTAGAAAAACCAGATGAGTATAACATGCTGGATTGCGGAGGTGAGTATGTTGTACAGTTATTCAACAAAGTCCATGTCTCTGGCTGAAGGAAGAGATGACAACTTGCAAATAAAGGAAATAAAATAATCCCTAATGCATGTCAGGTCTCTTTCATGAAGGGAACTATTTGAGTCAGTAGCAATTTTTCTTCCTAGGTGAAGGAAAGAGGCCAATTCACTTCATAATAAATGTTTGTTTGGAGCTATTGACTCGACAGAGTACCTGTGAGGGGGATTTGAAATCAACAGAAATCATTTCAACTAATTGGGTTTAATCAAGGAATTTTGTTTCACTCAAGAAAAAACAAAGCCGCCTAAATAAAAGAAAGCAGACAATCAGCCCTGCATTGCAGCAGATTGTTTAATTGTGAAGTTGCTGTAATTTTGCAGAACCAGTTCCAAACCAGACTGTATTCATTTAAACACTCTGGCCAATAAGTAGAGTCTCTTCATCAGTATTTTAATTGAGATCTGTGTAAGGACTTCGGGTCCAGGCTTCAAATAGAACTGAATAGCTTTAACATGTAAACATTCATATGAAACTCAAAGTCTGAAGAGTACGGATTATAAACTGAACTTTCCATAACCTGGTGAATTTAGCAATTTTCTGCCCAGGATTAAAACAACTCGTTATGACCACAACTGATTTTGAATTGGCTACTAATGAGTGGTCATGTCAAATAGATACCAAAGGAAACAAAGGAAGAAAGGTTTTTATTTTGTTTCCCTGCCAATCCCATGATGTCTGAAGCTGTTGCACTACCATGCTCCCATTTTACCCAATTTTAGAGCAGTTTGCAGGCTACTGTTTATGTAAAACACCGCTGCCAGCTTCTAAAGGCAGATGAAATTCAGCTAGAGACAAATATTATGGCTTTTTTTTGCTATAGATCAAAACCTTTATTCTTGTTTTGCTATGTGTTTAAGCATGTCTGAATAGGATAAAAGGACAGAATCTGCTTGTTTTGGGAGTCTATGAAGGATATAAACTGCTTTGAGAAAAATAAAAGCTTCATTTATTTTGACCTTTTATTGCTTGCCATCAAACATAGCAAATATTTCACCTTTTAATAATTGGTGAAAATATGGCTAGATTGGAATGATATTTCAAGTGTAGCCTTGTTTTGTTTTGCTGTAATCGTTATTCATGGTCGGATTGCTTGTTTGCTTTTCTATAGCACTATATGCCTTAAAGGATTATTTCTGTTAAAATTAGCACCTTTTGAAAAGGCACTGTGCACAAGAAAAAGCAGCTGAAGTCACCAACCATACAGTAACAAAATGTTCTAATCACTAAAAATGATATTAAGCTTCTCCTGCCAGCCTTTGTTGATATAAGTGGTCCTATTCAATCATGGGGGGGAAAGGGCTTTGAGATGCCATCTAAGTCCAACCCCCTCATTCAGGGCAGGGTCCTGTTGTATAAAGCCTCCCAGAGTAAATGCTTGTCCAGCCTGCACCTAGGCAGACAAAGTTCATTGGGTAAATCTGATATCTTTTATTAGATCAACTCAAAAAGTTGGAAAAAATCTTCTTTGCAAGCTTTTGGGAACAAATACCTTTCGTCAGGCTGAGGAAGCATCTGCAGATGGTCTGTGCTCTTACTAGATGGAATAGTAAAGAAGCCAGAGGCTGGTATGCAGGCAAGGAAGGAAGTCAGTGAAAATGTAAACTGAGGTAGTCAATGGGTGAGAGACATGGGGAGGAAGGAGGGGGAATGAATATAGCTGGTAAATAGTAGAGAGGTTACCTGGGGAGTCAGATGATAGGCAGGTTATAATGTGTCATAAATCCAATGTCTATATTTAGTCCATGATTTTTTGTATCTAATAGGTTGATGAAGTGAAGTTCATAGGCTCATCTATGAAAGGTATTTTAGCCTGCACCTAAAACATACAATGCCAGAGATACCAAAACCTCTCTGGGTAATGTGTTTCAGTGCTTCACCATGCAGTGTTAGAAAGTTCATCCAGTTACCTAACCCAAGGGAGCTCAACGGGGCCTACATCCCAGATCTGACCCACGCTGTCATGCGATGTGAGTTGTATGGCTCCCCAGGAGTCTGGAAATTTAGTGGCAGGGGAGCAGTGGCAATTAACACTGCCACTATTCCCCCACTGCCAGATAACATGGCCCCACACACAGTGTAGTGATCGCTAGGTTTAGCGATCTACAGGTTTAGCGATCTACTACAGGCATACAAGAATGAGAAAAACTACACAGCAAGTTTTTTTCTGCTGAAGTGTGCAACTGTTGTAATCCCAGTATGGCTCTCCTGAATAACCTGCTAGGTTGCTCCTCTATCATTAAGGAACTGTCCCCCAATTCTCAACTCCCTCAGCTTCCCTTTTAGAAGCATCTCTAAATTCTACTGTCTATCACTACATTTTCCCTCTTAATAAGTAAAAAAAAAATTAACACAAAAAGCCATTAATACCAATCTACAGAGACAAGATTACTGGAACTTCACTCTGGAGTCAGTCTTTACCGCTCACTTTCCTTTTCTACAGCTATTTTAACAGGTCTCTATGAACCTTTCAGGAGATGTTACTGTCTTCTCAAATCGAAGAAGTATCTAGTTTTTCATTTGTTTTGGTGGGAAGCTTTTTCTCTGTCTTGATAGACTTGAATTCTTATACAGGGACCTGACTGACTTGCACTTTGGCACCCATGCTTTTGCACATAGCACAAAGTTCATGAGCTACAGACCACTGAGGCTGATTTCAACTTTCTGTATACTAGTATTTGCATTTGTTTCCATAGGTACATTTCTTCCCCTAAAGACATAGTTGCTTCTTGTGTTCTGGAACAATCAGCTTCTTCTGAAGAAAATTGTCCAGATTTGGGTCATGATGGCCAAGAGGATCATCAGGAGGCACAGATGCTATGCCTTCTTCTACTGCAACCAGACACTTAACTAGATTCAGTTTCTCACAGGCTACCTAATCCAAAAAATTGGTTTCACTTCCCTAAATACTATGAGTGGGAGTTTGTATGCTCTTTTTTATATTGCGTGCTGGCAATATATCTTCCTTTCACTAGTATGTTTATTCCTGAATAGCCTACTCTTTTGATTTTTGTTGGACTTGTCTTTGATCTCAATTTTAAACTTCTACATCCATGCCCTGGCAAAATATTAACCTGAACTTCCTTTTTCTTTCATTGGCAAATCCAGTCCTTCTCATTGATTTTTGCTTAATTCAACTATATGTATAAAAAAAGTCTTTCTTCACTCTGCCTACATAGACATTCAGGGAGGTTAGGAACTGTTAGCTTGCCCATGTGAGGACCTTATGCATATATCCCTGGTTAGGTTGACCTAATTGTGAATTGTACAGATATCTCATGAAGGTTAGATTGGTCAAAAAATGGCCTACTGGATCTAATTTAACCTCAGAGGTGCACTAAGTTAAATGAGGTGCAATTTCTTCACTCTGCCTACATAGACATTCAGGGAGGTTAGGAACTGTTAGCTTGCCCATGTGAGGACCTTATGCATATATCCCTGGTTAGGTTGACCTAATTGTGAATTGTACAGATATCTCATGAAGGTTAGATTGGTCAAAAAATGGCCTACTGGATCTAATTTAACCTCAGAGGTGCACTAAGTTAAATGAGGTGCAAGTAAACCAATCTAACTGAAGTTCGGTACACATTAAGAGCTCAGTCCCCAATTCCCCCCCACCCTCCCTGCAGACTCCCCCACCCTGCCTGCCCCCTCCCCCTCCCTTGACTTACCTTAGATCAGGATCTCAGCACCTATCTGATTGCTGAGTTAGATCAGGGGCCATTTTAAACCTGATGAAATCCCCTCGAACTTCTAGATGTAATGTCTGTATGAAGGTTTCCGTGTTTGGGAATCGCAACACATGACAAAATGGTTCCTTTTGTGATAGGTAAAACAGAGCTTTCCAAATGCATCACATTTGAGTCCATGTTGCCTTCCACATTTGCTGCACGATCTCTCTCCCTTTGCACACTCCTTGCCAATGGAAAATTCTACCCTGTGAGGTGGCTTTTTCTGGCCACAGGCTTTCATGCCCAGGGCATGAACAACCCCTTTTGTGCAGTCAGCTCTGCAGCCTGGGCCCTCACACTTGGACAGTCTTTTCTGGGTATCTGTAAGACTTGGGGCAGGGTAAGGCAGTGGGCCCAATCTGGCACATGTGGGACTGGGGCAGCAGGCTCAATTTGGCATGCACAGAGCTGGGGGCAGGATTGCAGGCACAATCAAGCACACATGAGACTGAGGTCAGATCTGTTGTGTGGGGCTGGGACTGCAGTTGTGATATGGTGCACAGGATAAGAGCCATGAGTGCCAGGTTGGGTCCACAGACTGGATCCAGTCCATGGACAAACCCTGCACCACTCATCTGTTGCATGGCCCAAAAAGTTGGATATCACTGATCTTACCTAAGTTTCTCTTGTTGCAATTTAAGCCCTTTACTTCTTATTCTTCCCCTAGTGGACACAGAGACCTATTGAGTGGCATCTTCTTTATAACAACCCTCTTTGTATTTCAGAATAGTTGTCAAATCCCCATTCAGTCTTCTGGTATTTATGCTAAATAATCCAGGCTCTTCCTGACTCATTTTAAAGAGACTGTTGCTTGACTAAGGACTGCTCATATGAAAAAGGATTTTTATGTCTGGGTTCTCTCTGTGGTAATATTTCCCTTCCTTTGTTCAGTGATGATGTTTGTACCTATATGATACCATCTGAGAAAGAGAGGATATATTTACTGCTTGATGTAAATGAGCGTTACTAAGAGAAAAACTGTATAGTAGTGGCAGTTGTTGTAGTAGTCGTAGTAGTAAACCAAGTATAACTGAAGTCAGCTGAGTCACACCGGAGTAAAATTTCTACTGGTACATAAAGAATGAGGTAAACATGAGCAAAGCAAGCAGTATGGGGTCATAATTTTTAAGATACTACATCACCAGGAGAGGTGAATTTAGAACAATCTATACATTCTAAGGGGGGAATCATTTTTTCCTGGGAAAAATTATAAGAGCAATATTTGTGAAAAAATATATACATTTGCCTTGGATTTCTGCTACAAACCAGTTTGTCTAGATGCACGCAGTTGAAGTAGATTAAGCAAAGCTGTTTGACCCATAACTCTGTGTTGTTCCTAGGCCTTGAGATGGCATGGGTCCAACGACCTCCAGAAAAGGCCTTAAGTGGGGAGTTCTTCAATGTAACCTACACAGTGTTTGCTTCAGATCACTTCTACCAATATGCTGTCCAAAACGGCATCCTCTCTCACAGGTACTATCTCCTATAGAGACTTCTCTAATGTTCAGAACAATGTACTGCAGTGGATTCCTGGCTATTTTCAATGACGTGGCTGTACTAAAGACTCTACTGGTAGACGCTCTGGGAGCATTTTTCTTCGGAGTGACTGTTCCATTCCTTTCATTCTGAGCGAAATATGCTTGCATCACTTCTAGTGAATGGTGGTTAAGAGTGGTTGCATATCCTATTGTGATTGCACGCTATCACTGCCCTAGCTTGCTCGTCTCCGCCTCCTGGTATTTCTTGGCTTTTAGACTACAAGCTCATTGGGATGGAGGTATCTTTGTACAACGTCTAACACAAAGGGATCCCACCTGGTTGCAGCCAATAGGTATTACCTCAACATGAAGAATGAATTACAGTAGCAATAATAATTCATATAGTTAAATGCACTCCTTGCAAATATAACTACATGATGGGCCAGATTTTGAGCTCATTGAAATCAATTTTCTAATAATTAAACAACCAGAATTTGTCTGAATGTATATGTATTGACTTAGAGAAACTTTCACAGATAACTATGAATGATATTTAATCAAATGAATCATCCACATAAACTTTTATTTTGTTCATCTGAGAATTGTTACCTTTTTGCATCATATGTGGTAAAAAAAAAAAAAATCCTTCTCACACTTCCCAAAATATGCTTTATAGTAAAATTTCATAGCCATTAATTATAGCATTACAATAGCATTGCCAAAAAATAAACAATTTCTGCCAGTAAAAGAGGGATTATTTCAACGGTCTTTTCAGTGCAACTTGTTCTCATAAAACATTTAGGAGCTTTTGAAAAGACTGCTGTTAAATATGGATACTAACACATTTATTTCTTACCTTAATAATGTCAAACTCAATTCACCCAAGGAACCTTGTCTGCCTACATCCTTAGACCAACACGGCTACAACCTAAACCCCAGGAACACACACCCTCATTCAAAAAGGCACTTAAATATGTGACTCATTTTAAGCATGGGAGTGGTCTCACTGATTTCAATGAGATACTACCATGCTTATTGTAATTGGTCCAAACTCCACTGTAGTTTATTCAAATTATTCCACTGGCTTTAGTGGGCTTCAGATCAGGGCCAAAATGTGGCAGATGCTCAATGGAGGCCATAAGGGTAAAATTAGATAAGGTATCTATTTCCTGATTTTTCAAGGTATTTATGTACCTGGCAGTGTGCATAGATGCTTAAGAGGATTTTTAAAAACGCCTTAGCAAGTTAGATGCCAGACACCAAGTCAGAAGGTTGGGGAAATCAGTGGATGTAAATGAGTGTTACTAAGAATGAATTAAGGATGAATGTTACTAAGGATGCCAAAATGGCATCCTCTCTCACCGGTACTATCTCCTATAGAGACTTCTTGGGCTTAACCTGCTTGGGCTAATTTGCAAAACCTAAAAGGTACCTACGTCTATCTTTGGGTACCCAAATACCTTTTTAAATCTGGCCCTAGCCAATCTTGAAAGATTTACCCTGGCATTTACAATTTAAAATATGTATTTGTTTATACCTATATTTATATTTTAACTCTTTGCATTTATACCTTCACAGTGAAGTCTCTTTTTATAATGCTACTGGTTACTTCTCAGTGGGTACATCTACACGTTCATTAATGCACTGTAGTTGCAGCACATTAAGTTTAATACTTGCATAACCAAGTACTAAATCAACACACAGTCACTGCTAGCACCAGCACGTGGCTTTTTACAGATGCTAACTGCGCAGTAGTCTAATACTATTGTGCAGTAGTGAATTAGCATGGTTTTTGCCCTGCACACTACTGTGCAGTATAATTAGGCTACTACACAATTAGCATCTCATGTAGATGCACCCCAATGGGTGCATCTACCCATATGCTTTGCTGCAGAGTTGACTAATTTGCTCTGCAGTGAAGCATCACTGCCTACACATGCACCAGTATTAGGGCACAGTAAATTAATTTAAAATAGAGTAATCACATGCAATGAAATGCATATATAGATGACATCAGGAGCTGGCTGGGGCACCAGGGCTGCCTGCACCCTAGCCTGACACTTGAGCACCCTCGTGCCCCATCAGGCCATAGGCTTCCTGACACTGCCACCTGGAGCCTGGGACTGACCCTTGAGGCCCTGCCAGCCTGGGACTGCTACACCCCAACTCAAACTGCTGCAAGGTGTTTGTGCAGACTCTGCACCCTGGAACAGCTGACTGTGACAGAAACTTCACCAGTTTATCACATTGCCTTAATGGCACATGTAGATGCATCCAGTGAATATAATTTGCAGTACAGCAAAAATGAAATCTTTTATAGAACTTGGATACAGAAAGTTACAGTACAGCACACATTTTCAGATGCTGCTCAAATGTTGTCTCGGGCTTATTTACATAGTGCAACTCATTAAAGAATATTGTTTCAATTATTTTTACTTCCTCTTGCATGGCACCAAGTTCAGAGAGATAATTGCTCATCTGAAAGTAGGGCTGGGTAAATCAGGTGGAAAAATTGTAGTGACATACATTTTTTTGTGCATGTGTGGTTTTTGCAATCTTTACATGTGGTAAACTTTCAAGGGCCTTGAATCATTTTACAGCTGAGTTCACTAAATCCACTTCTGGTTCTAAATGTCGCGATTTTGCAATTTGCAGTCTTTGAAATCTTACACACCAGGTAGGTCTAAGCTGGTCTTTTACAGAGCCAGGCACTGTCCTACTGAAACATGCTACACCAGCTCCCTGAATATTACCTTCCAAGCTGGATGTAGTGTAGTCGCTTGATGCCACAGCCCGTGTGGCATGCACACAGGGCTCTGTGTGTGTGAATACACTTCTTTCAGTTCAGGAAATATCCTATGCAGAGCAGGCATGATGTACTGTGCTGTAATTGAGCAGTATGGACATACTCATAAATATCATAGCCATTATCCTTGGACCTTTGAGATGGTGGAGCAGAGAGAGACTGAATAGTACACATTTTATGTTTCTACAGCTATAAAGAAACAAACATAATGATGATAAAATGAGGATGGAAGTATTCAGGAACTACTATGGTTTTACCATCAGAGGTGCCATAAGTGGTCTTGCCAAAATCTTCCATCTGGTGGGGCAGTCAGGTTGGATGGCCAAGCTGAGGTGTTGGGATCTGCTGGTGGGGTAGTAGCTCCCAGAACTTCCTCCTACAAAGCAGTAGGTGGTAGCCCAGTCAACAGTAGTCTTTCAGTGCTCTGGGACTGCCTGACCCTAAGGTAAAACAGATAAGTAAAAGGAAACAGCCACATGTCTCCTGCCATAGATGTTTGCACAGTGCTTTTTTTCTGTGCTGCTTAAAGAGCAGAATTTCATTTTGTGCCTGTTGACATTTTTAGGAATGAGAAATTAATATAAATTATCTTTTTATTTAAAAAAAAATGTTGTTTGGCCAGCAATGCTACTGCTGCAAAGAAGTTTTGCGAAGAACAGGAGTGCCCTTCCAACTGGAAAGATGCAAATGGAGAGAACTGCTGTGTTCATCATGCCAACATTCACTCCTGCCCCTTGGCCTTTATGGTTAGTACCGAGGGTAGGGCTTTCAGAAGTCTGTTTGCTCTGGTGGATAGGCCACTTTCATAGCTAGACTCAACATCATGAAAATTAGATGCCTAAAGTCAGACCCTTCCTTGAGGATCAAATCCAGGGGCTCATTAAAGCCTGTGAAAAGGTTCCCGTTGAATTTAATAGTCTTTAGATTAGGCTCCCAGGTACCAAAGCAAATGGTTTGACTTCTCAGAAGTAGTGAGCAGTTTCCATTCAAATCAGGGAGAATCCCTCACTGACCTGCAGAATTGGACCCTTTAAACTGGTTTGTCTTTATCAGATTTGATTAAGGCAAAACAAACATGTTAGGGCTAGAGAATGGATGTCTGAAGACTTGCTGGTGCATAGTGAGCAAGATACATTCATTTATTTTGGATTCTAGGAGAGCATGTGTAACCAAATTTATGGGTTGAAAAGCTGAGCCCATTTAAATAAATAGGAATGTTTTTGATAAGCTGGGGAGTCTCCCTTCTTTTTCATCTTCATTATTTAATATGGTGACTGCAGAAGGAAGCGTGGGGACAATTTGAACTGTGTGTGTTTGCTGAAGGACAGAGAGAACCCATAGGTCTAGAAAGATCACATGAGGCAGGAAGTCCTCCATGGTGGCCCTCATGGAGATTCTAAAAACTATTTCATTAGGAGGGAGAGTTTTGCAGAAGGAAATCAGTCTCTCACCCACCAATCACATACATACCCCGGGATACACCCTGGAGCTGGTTGTATCTCCATGCTAAGGAGTTCTGACTTTGCTCCTTGGTAGCACTGGCTCTGCTTTCTCTTGAGAGAGAGATCCCTACCAGAATGATCATACAACCTCTGAATGTCTTATCTTTCTGATGGAGGCACAGCAGGGGTCAACATGCATCCCACCAGCATGCCTGCCCCTCTCTTAGTCTACCCACTGACTGCTTCCTTCCCCCTTTCTCTCCCTATCTGAATCTTCAAAGCCACAAACACCCCTTTGTGGGAGGACAGGAGGGGATCTCTTGTGAAGCTAGTGCACCCCTAAATTCCTTGTGTGGGGAATGAGATCTGTGAACACACCTAGCACAAAGATTCCATCTAACCTCACATTTCAAAGTTTTTGTGGTTTCCTGCTTGAAAAAATGCAAGTTTGTGTAGAAAAATTATCATAGACCAAAAATACCACAAGAATGTGGATAGATGAGTCTGAATGGGTATTTACCAATCAATCCCTTTCTATTAAGCAAGATCTTTTTGACAGTGTCATGTGTTCTGAATAGTTTTACCTTAGCTGGCATGAATAATCCATCTCTTTTTCTGTATCGTAATCTAAAGTGCATAAACTGGAATGTCTGCATAAATATTTGAAATTAGGAATTAGAACTAATCCATTTAAAAAAAGAAAAAAACCCACAACAACCTACATCTGTATATAGTCATTATAATCCTTCATGGCTGCAACTGTTAGGAAATTAAAGTCTTCGCAGCCTTAATGAGAAATGCTGTGAAAGAAAGCATTTCATAGCAGAAATGCTTTATTCATTAGTCAGAAGAAGCTGCTATATCAAAATGAGTGCTGCTGTGAAAATACTATGTAACAGCCAAAAAATTGGAGCAAAATTCTGCTTCTTCAGTGAGGTAAATCCAGAATGACTTGATCTAAGTTACCCCACACAGACTTTGGCTCATGTTCTTTATGGGAGTTTTATGAGATTTTTAAACTAAATTATAAGTTGCTTTGTTCCTATTGCTTGTATTTTATTTTAGTATACACAACAGTATTTGTGATTTTAGTATACAGCAATACCATGGTGTCATATTGTAGATGCAGATATGCCTAATAATTGAGTGGTCATTGTTTTGAAGCACAAAACTTTATAAGACTACTGAGGGAACCTGGAATTTTCACTGTTTCATTATTTATTGCAATTGTTTGGTGAAGGGGAAAGGTGGAATATGTGGGCCATGGATTCCAGATGATGGACAGATATTTACTCATACCCTATCTACAGCTGGCAAAATGAGTCAGAAAAACTGGACTGCCAAGGTACAGTGCATTCTCTGCCTATTATAGTTTATTTGGATTATTATCTTTCCAAGACAGCTTGTAGTAGTTTGAAATAATGTTGTGGAGTCTTAATGCATGAAAAAGGTCAAAGGTTAACCTGAGCCTAGGTTAGCAAAATGAAGCCACACCAGTTTCTATAGCTAACAGCACACAATGAAGTGAGACTTGAACTCAGACATCTGGAGCTATAGGAAGACACCTTAGCTGCTTTTCTACCATGTATGACAACCTTGCCCCCCACCTCACCAAATGATTATTTTTATGCATATAAAGGTTGTAGGATAAGAGCCAGATACTACAAGGTGCTGAGTGCTTGTAATTCTCCATTGGCTTCATTGGGAAGTGACTGGACCTAGTGCTTCGTGGAGTCCAGTCCCCTGCAGGAACAAAACACTGAGTTTTCAGCATTGTCATTTCCTATGCCAGCATCTCTAAGGGAGGCATGGTTCCCATCTTCCCTTTTACCATAGAAGGAACAGGAGGAACTGCAAAGATCTTAAAGGCCTTTCCTTTAGCCCAGCTATAGATGTGCCCCAATCCTGTTCCCTGCCAAGGAGCAGAGATACCTACCTGGCTTCTTCAGTCTATTGGTGTTGAGAGTGGGGAGGCAGCGAGCTTGTAAGCAGCACAATTCCTTAGAGGCACTTCTCACTCTTAAAACAGTACCAGCCCCTGACACCTCTGTTACAGAAGAGAAAAATCCATCAGAGTGAAGGTTTTTCTCAGTTGGTTAGAAATGGGGAGAGGGAAAGGAAGGACCGTTCCCCCAGTTCCTTTCCCAAAGGCATTGCAAATACTTGGGAGATGATATCACTGCATAGACACTGCTTCCTGCTTCTTGCTCTACATTATAATGACTCTAGGAAAGTAGCCCACCTTAGGTCTTAGGTAACATCTAATGCATACACTGATAAATATATCTAAATGAAATTCCTAGACATTTGATTGAGTTACTCTATAAGGCAGTGGGAAGATTTTGAGGTAGCTAATACATAAGAATAGGAAGGGGCAACAGTAGGTCTAGGGGAAAGGAGCATGGGTTATTGATGTTGAAAGATTTTTGTTTGCACAATTTAAATCAATTGTGATTGAGTTAATTTGTTTTTCAGGTAGTTTTGGTTCATGTGGGTGTGACCTCTCTCATCGCACACATCAGAGTTGGCAGAATGCAGGTAGCTCTGGAAGCCAAAACCACTGTCCTACCTGCAGTAGGTATGAAACTAAATGTAGAGTCAATGTATGTCAAATAAGTATTACATAGTGCATCCTACTTATAGATAAGCACGAAGAACAGGAGGACACACATCTTCCCTTCCCCCATAAGGACCTCAGGAGGTCATCTAGTCCAACCCCTGCTCGAAGCCCAACTAAATTATTCCAGCCAGGGATCTGTCAAGCGGGGCTTTGAGAACCTCCAAATATAGACATCCCACCACCTCTCTAAGTAACCGGTTCCAGTACTTCATCACCTTCCAAGCGCGAGAATTTTTCCTAATATCCAACTTAAACTTCCTGGCAACTTGAGACCATTGTTCTGTCATCTGCCACCACTGAAAACAGTGTAGCTCCATCCTCTTTGGAACCCTGCTTCAGGGAGTTAAAGGCTGCTCTCAGATCCCCCCCTCACTCTTCTCTTCTCCAGACTAAGTCCAGTTCCCTCAGCCTCTCATCAGAAGTCATGTGCCCCAGCCCCCTAAACCATTTTTGTTGTCCTCCACTGAACTCTCTCCAACTTGTCCACATCCTTTCTGTAGTGGGGGGCCCAAAACTGAACACAGTACTCCAGATGTGGTCTTTCCAGTGCAGAATAAAGGGGAATAATTATTTCCTTTGTTCTGCTGCCAGTGCTCCTACTAATGCAGCCCAGTATGTTGTAAGCCTTCTTAGCAAGAGGGGCACACTGTTGACTCATATTCAGCTTGTTGTCCACTATAATCCCCAAGTCCTTTTCTGCAGGGCTGCTGCTTAGTCAGTTGGTCCTAAGCCTGTAGCGGTGCATGGGATTTTCCATCCTAAATGAGGGAATTTAAACTTGTTCTTGTTGAAGCTCATGAGATTTCTTTTAGCCCAATCCTCTTATTTTTCTAGGTCACTCTGAATCCTAGCCCCCAGATTGGTATCATCTGAGAACTTGCTGAGGATGCACTTCATTACATCCTCCAGGTCATTAATGAAAATATTGGACAAAACCAGCCCCAGGATTGATGCCTAGGGCAGTCCACTTGGGACCAGCTGCCAACTAGATCTCAACCCATTGATTACTACACATTAAGCCCAATGATCCAGCCAGCTTTCTATGAACCTTACAATCCACTCATCCTACCCATACTTCTGTAACTTGCTTGCAAGAATGATGTGGGAGACAGTATCAAAAGCCTGGCTAAAATAAAGGTATATCACATCCACTGCTTTCCCATAATCCACAGAGCCAGTCATCTCATCATAGAAGGCAATCAGGCATGATTTGCCCTTAGTGAATCCATGCTGACTGATTCTGATCACTTTCTTCTTCTCCAGGTGCTTAGAAATGGATTCCTTGAGTACCTGCTTCATGATTTTTCTAGGGACTGAGATGAGGCTGACTCGTCTGTAGTTCCCTGGATCCTTCTTCTTCCTTTTCTTAAAGATGGGCACTATATTTGCCCTTTTCCAATCGTCTGGGACCTTCCCTGATTGCCACATTTTTCAAAGATAATGGCCAGTGGCTCCGCAATCACATCAGCCAACTCCCTCAGCACCCTCAGATGCATTGCATTCAGCCCCATGGACTTGTACACATCCAGCTTTTCTAAATAGTCCCAACCTGTTCTTTCACCACTGTTGGCTGCTCACTTCCTCCCCAACCTGTGCTGCCTGGTGCAGTAGTCTGGGAGCTGACCTAGCCTGTGAAGACTGAGGTAAAAAATAGTTTGAATCAAATGCCAGAACCAACTGCTTTTGACCTTACTAAGCTTGCTTGGATATACAACTTCACACAGTCCCAAATACATGGGTCTTATATTCACTTTAGTAGAGCTGTAAATAGGACTAAGTCAATAATTTATTGTGCAGTTAGGCTATTGAACCGGAAATTCAAGGGGGAAAAACAAAACAAAACACTGATTCAAATCAAACTGCATTTGAATTTTTTCTGGTTTTCTTGCCAAAATATAACATCAAAACAGTTTTTACTCAACACAAAACATTCTATTTGACCTGACACAAAATGCTCTGTTAAAGGGGATATCCCCAGCCGTATTCTCATCACTATCACCTCCTCCTCCGTCTTGCCTACTAGTGATAAAGCAGTCAGGAACCTCGGTGATGGTCATAGCATATGACCACAGATTACAGTGGGGTAGAAAAGAGTCAGGCAGAGCTATTACTTATTTATTTTCCTCCCTAAGTGTGTTGTACAGACATCTTAAGAGAGCCGTTCTTCAGCTTGTTTCAGTGGGACTAATTATTTTTTAGATTGAAAGTCTGAGGTACAATGTCTAGCAATAAAGATCTAAAGGGACCATCTAAATGTTTGGCTATTGACTTCAGAGAAAGATTTTACTCTAAGCAATATAATACCTTAAAATAAAATAATAATTTTATTCTAGGTAATAATCCTACTGGGCTTACGTTTCAATAAATGAAAGGAAAAAATAGTGATCATCTAATGAAGCTCCATTTGTCATTAGCTTTATTGACTGCAACACAAAGCAAATCTGATGGCTCTTACCCAACTCTTTTCACTTTGGACATCTCATCCAGAAAAGAATAATGTATTTTAGGATACTTTCAAACTTATTATTATAAGTATAATTGTTGGTATTGCATGAGAAGGCTTCCTTTTAAAAAACGTGGTATTCATGAGATTTCATTAGAAACTCCCGTCATGTGTATGGGATCATTAATTCTGTTCACATTAGCCAAGATTATGAAAACTAGGGGCGTCTTTATACGTGCTCTGGGATGCTGGGGGAAGGGAGGGAGGTGTCACATGTATTCAGTGTCTCATTTGTCAAGCTTTAGTTAAAGCACCCCGGCCACCATTTTGAAGTGCGGGGACGCTGAATACACGTGATGTGGAGGCTGCTGGAGCTTGCTAATTAGCACGCTCCAGCAAACTTAATTAATCGAGTCTGTTCCAACATGTGCTAATTAGCATCTGTTGGAGCCAGACATCTGGCATGTGTATAGGTGCCCCAGATGCCTAAAATTACACTCCTTAAGTGCTAATCCTGTGGTGCTGATTAGGAGGATAGGAAGAAAAGATGGGTTTTTGCTTCCCTTATTTCTGGGTCTCAAAGGACTGTGCTTAGTACACAGAATGTGAGTAAGGGAGGCAGTCTTGTCTCACTACAGACTAAACAGACAGGCCTGTTTACAGGCTAAATAACAATAGACAGATAAAATTCAATAATAACCAAGTAAGACATCTACAACAAGCACTGATGTTCACAATCATTTGGAAGTGATTTAAGGGTTCCTATAAAAATCAAAATGCTGCTTTCAACTACAAGGGCCCTGAACTGCTTAAAATTTGTTCCTTTGCCTATTCTCTCACCTTGCACAGGCATCCACGTATCAGAAGCCATCTGTTTTTCTGGATAAATTCACACCTAAGTTCAGATGACAGTTTTTTTTTTTCAAGTATTCTGATATCTCCCTCTTTCTGTCCAGTGTGTGGAGATGGTTTTTGTGAAGACGATGAAGGCTGTTCGACATGTCCAGCTGACTGTGGAGAATGCCCACTGACAACTGGTGCCAGAATAGCAATCGCCTTACCAATATGTTTCGTCTGTTCTGGCTTCATACTGACAATAATGGTGAGTGTCCCTTCTCTTTTTTTATTTCCATTGTGGCTTGGTCATTATTTTATTATTTACAGAAAAGTTCTTTGGAAGTAGCGGTTCTCTAGAATCCTTTGAGGAAAAGTTGTTTCTAAATGCAGAGGCTAGTTCTACACTAACCCTGGCAAGAGTTATGGCAATCCTACACTGCTAGAGAGTGTCTGCCAGCAGGGAACTCCATAATGATCCTGACACACCTGACACCAACTAGGGACTCCCTCATGCCAAGGTAATTCCCATCTAAGAAAATCCATTTTGTTTCCAAATGATTTGCACTGACAAAGCACTATTAAGCAGGCTGCAGTTGGGGAGAAAATCTAGCCCTTGTGGTAAGGTTTGGCCCCTAGCAAGGAAACAAGTCACCAGGCAAAAGTTTACATGAAGGGTAGTCTAAGGATTTTCATTAGATGACTTGGCATTACTTCTTGGCTTGTGGTCTTGTCACAAGTTTAATAGGTAATTGTAGAAGTTACATTCTGACTACTCTCTCTGTCACCAGTTTCAGAGAAATAAAATGTCCTTCTGCCCTGAACATATATACAGGGACTGCTAATATTCTGCACAGTTCCATACTAAAAAGGCCTTTTTTTTTTAGTGGGCATAGTGAAATGGTTCCAAGGACTATGCATACAGATACATGGATATACAGATTTATTATTTACAGGGCACAGAGGTTTGAGAGGGACTTCACAGGCCAAAGAGACATCCATACCCCTTAAGTATTTTGTAATCTTATATTGGATGCTAGACAATGTATGAGGATAAGAAGAAGCATGAAGGGTCTGACCAGAAAGAGGATAAGAAATACTAAATTAGGTCATCATCTGTTACTTAATTAAAGGCTTGGCACAACATAATTTCATGGTTCAGTTCAAAATATTGGGTTTTGTTTAGTAGTTATTAATTATTATAATGACAAATTCACTTAATGAGGGAATGCAGAAAGAAGCATTTATATAGAGACCTGGATAGATCAATGTAGGAAAAATGATCCTTTGGAATGGAAAGTTCTATGTTGATACAAGATAATGTACTGTTGTTGCTTGTTATTGTACAGTATTACTGGAGAATGGATCCTCCATGTTTACATTTACTTCTGTATCTGAAAATACATAAATTTATTTCTGAACATTACCGAAAGATGTTGCTGGGGGAATGTTTGTAGATGTATAGTCACTGTATTGATTGTATCCATAACAAAAGACTTATTTGGCTTTAACATATAAATCCATCAAATGGATTTGCTCTTTGATATCTCACTTCTTTCTTCATCTCACACTGTAGCTCTGAAGACCATCTGGAGTGTTCAAGCTAACACTCCCCAGGGTTAACTGAAAGGGAGTGAAGAAAGCAGGCTCTCCCTCAGGGAAAGATGGATTGTTTTATGGTTAAGGAACTGTGGTGATACCCAGAGAATTAGGATTTAGTTCCTGATTCTTTTGCATATTTCTTGTGTGACTTTGGGACTTAGTCTAAAAGTCTCTGGCCTTTAATCTCCTGGTGTCTCAGTTTCTTATTGAAAGTATAGGAATCAAAATCTGTACCTACTTCACAAAGCTGTTTTTAAGATAAATCAATAGCAGCCTTCCATGGAGACACTCAGATAATAGAGTTGTGGGGGCACTATAATTAGGTATGTGGCATCAGCTTCCTACTGTAGTTCACCACAAGTCCACTTCTGTAACCCTTCAGGTTGCAGTGTAATCCTCATTTGTTCCCGTGGGCTTTTTTCTCCAGGATAAGAATAAAAATGTTGGTAGGGGTGTTTAGTGATTCTGAATGGGAACTGAAGAATTATCACTGGCTTTTGGCTGTGTTCAAGGTCTGCGGTAGGCACATACATATTTCATTTTTCTCACAAGAATACAGCATAATTCACATAAGTAATATTATGGTTATCAATTATATGGTTGTTAAACTTCATGGCAGTTTGTTTTAACAAATTTATTAACATAAGACAGGATATCTGTATCTTATCTGGATAAAATTTTCATCCCAGAAAGTGAGAGTCTGATTAGAGTGCAGAACTGGGCCCTAGAACTACAACAATTAGACACGCATTCTGAAATTTCCTAAGCATGATCTCCAGATCATGGAAGTTGGCACTATAAGTCCAGAGCTGGCTCTGTATAGTGCTTCAAAGTTGGTTTGTTACAAAAACATGTTTTTATTAAGGGTCTTTCAACCTAATGCAGATGATAACATTTTACCCTCCATCCTCTACGTCTTGACAAAGTGCAGTTTGATCATTGTCTGCTGTGTCATATTTCAGAAGATAATTTTAAAATTATCATTAAGCTGATTTGGGATAAAATCAAATCCTTATCTCATCCATGCATATTTTGGCTACAGAAGACTCAGAATGAGTCTAATTTACCTCCTACAACTATTTCTTGATGATGCTTTTGTAGGGACGCATCAATAGTATTGCTTTTACCATCTTATGCTGTTTCATTTCCTTAGCTTCGGTGTACAAGATCATTCATATATGTTTGTAGGTTAGCCCACATATGAGCTTGTTTTTAAAAAGATGTTGAGGCCACTTTTATTCAGTTTTTCATATACAGTAACAGATTGCCCATCCAGTGAGCCTGTCTTCCATATACCAGGATGCCACTGACTTCAGAAGGTATTGGATCAGCTCTTACAGTCTCTTGTGATCAGTTCATTTTGTTTGATCATACTCTTGCATGGTAAAATGTAATTCTCCTTTTTCTGTAATCAGCCATCCAATCCAGAGTCCTTTGAAATTAATGGAAATACTCCTGTTAACTTCACTGAGCTATGGATTCGATTTGGCCCTCAATTCTCCCCAAGTACTGTTAGTTCTCTCATTATGTCACAAGGAATTTTGTATTACTTTGGCTTTTGTCACTTGCTGTCTTTTAGTAACTCATTTCTGCAGAACAAAACCTAGAATATGATATTCAGATGGTTTGCAAAAAAATGGTGCTCTCTACCTGGTATATAAATTGCCTTGTGATGATTGCATCAAATCTCATGAGGTTCAATAAGGACAGGTGCAAAATCCTGCACTTGGGACAGAACAATCCAATGCACTGCTACAGGCTGGGGGCTGCCTGGCAAAGCAGCAGCGCTGCAGAAAAGGACCTGGGGGTTACTATGGACAATAAGCTGAATATCAGCCAACAGTGTGTCCTTGTTGCCAAGCAAGCTAGCAGCATACTGGGCTGCATTAGTAGGAGGGTTACCAGCAAACTGAGGAAAGTGATTCTTCCCTTCTGTTCAGCACTGGTGAGGCGACATTTGGAGCACTGTGTCCAGTTTTGGGACTGCATTACAGAAAGGATGTAGACAACTTGGGGAGAGTCCAGCAGAAGGCAGCAAAAATGGTTAGGGGGCTGGGGCATAGGACTTCTGAGGAGAGGCTGAGGGAACTAGATTTATTAAGTCTGCAGAAGACAAGACTGGGAGGGCATTTAAGAGTAGCTTTAAACTCCCTGAAGGAAGGTTCCAGCAAGGATGGTGCTAGACTGTTCTGAGCGGTGGCAGAACAAGGAATAATGGTCTCAAGTTACAGCAAAGTAAGTTGAGGTTAGATAGTAAGAAGAACTTTCTCACTAGGAGGATAGTAAAGCACTAGAACAAGTTATGCGGAAAGGTTGTGGAATCTCCATCCTTCAAGGGTTTTAAGACCCAGCTAGACAAAGCCTTGGCCAGGATGATCTAGTTGGGGATGGTTCTGCCTTGAGCAGGAAATGAGGTCGTGTCCAACCCTAGTTTTCTATTATTTTAATTTCATCTGCATAACTAATCAGCTATAGAGAATGTGTACTTATTTTCATTTGTATTTATGGAATTTGAAAGCTTTATTGGACCTTGTAACAGGGTGTCATCCGCAGATGCACTGGCACACACCTAGAGGTACCCCCCAGAGTCCTTTCTTTTTATATTTTTAATATGCTTCTGGGAACAGACTCCCTTTCACTCACCTGCCACATCTTGGTGTTTCTTTGGTTCTTAAAAGGGAGGCTGCCCCAGGGCTTCCCAGACAGGGTCTTTGCTCTCACCTCTATGAGATAATGAGCTCCTGCCTTAAGGGCTAATTGCATAACTCTGACCTCTCCTTATCACACCCCATGCCTTGTAGGTGTTATCTGTACAATGTCCCTTTGTTGGGGCCAAGGCCTCTGAGGTCTCAGCCCCTTCACTCTAGCTAGGCCTACCAGCCAGGGCCCACTGGTTAGGACCCAGCTTAGAGGCACTAGCTTCATTCAATCTGCTCTGGGCCCCTGGCCCTGTCTAGCTGTACCCGCTATGAAGCCAGGCTCTCTGGCTCCTGTAGCTGCACCCCCATGGGTGCTGATGAGGCCTACACATCCCATACAGCCTCAGCCACAAACCACTGGATTAAACTATAACGTGAATAGGAAGCCACTGGGCTATAACAAAGAAGAGTTAACGTAGGCAGTAAGCCTTCTTACCCATGGGCTCCACAATTCTGAGTCCCCACTGCCAGTGGCTCTCTCTTTTAGAGTTGCTGCAGGTTTGCTTGGAGCCTTCTAGAGCCCACCCTCTGTCTCAGTCTGGGCTCCTCTAGCTAGCGCAGACTAGGGTTTATATAGTTCTGGCCTGGGCCCTTTCACAGTCACCTGACAGCCCCCAGTCAGCTGACCGGCCTGCAAGGCTTAGCCTTTAACCCCTGCTCTGCTGGCAAGCTTTGCTCTGAAGACTCGAGTCTTAAAGGGGCCACTCTACTTCCTAGTAACAGGGCTAGGGTTCCCTGGTACAGACCTAAATCTTATTTACAAAGCAGTGACTATGTCCAATCTAGTGTTTCATATGATAGCGAACTTGATGTGATAATGTACCCTCTAAAATGCTGATCTAGACCCCAAATTTGATTATGTGAAAAATACCACTGTTTGTATTGATGAAAAATATATTACTGGCATTTAACATGACCTACAGTCTTTCTAAGGAGGTCATATGCACCCCTAGCTGACTTCAGAGTTGAGTTCTAAGTGTAGTACAAATGGTTGGAAATTGTTAGATTATATTATTATAAATGTATTCAGCGGTGGATCCAGGGGGAGGTGCATTGGTGCAGTTGCAGCTCCCTTTGCTTCTCGGTCTACCCAAAGTTCAAAGCCAACTACCTGGCAGCAGCAGCAGCAACAGCATTTCTATTCAGGTAATGGTAAGAGACTCAGTTGACTTCCTGGCTCATTATAATCTACATAATTCCTCCTTAACAACCCTCCCTTCTTTTTTAAATGACCTTGATGTTCCACTAATCAAAAGCTATCCTTTTTGGCATTTATGCTGTCTGTTAGCTGCTCCTAGTAATGTAGCTCCTATTTAACTGTGTTGCAGACTGTTTTTAACTCCAGCTAAAAACATTAACTCAGGTAAACATTAATTCTGATTTGGAATAACTTTCAATGAAGCACTGGATGCACTGCCAAGATGCTCAAGAAGACTAGGCTTTGTTTTATGAATCTGAAAAAGAGATATACATTTAACTCTAATGACTACAGGACTAATGAAATGGTATTTTGATTATTTTTTTGCCTAGTTTGTTGTGTTTTTAATACATAATAATGCACATTCCAATAAAATGATATTTGTTTTTGCTTCAATGGTAAATGGAATAATATAGCCATAAGTTCCTAGCATATTAGTAAAGAAAAATATGTGTTGCGTTCTTTGGGATGATGTACCACATCAGCTGCATCCCACTTTTCAAAATCCTAAATCCTTCCGTTAATTTATCATGCCATATTGTTTAGAACTACTGATGTTTGTATTTAAGTGTTGTATCCTGATTTGTTACTGCTCAGAGTTATCTTATACATTCAAGTATTGGTAGATTTTATACTTTAAAATATCTATATATCTAATGATTTTTGGCCATGTTCATTTCTGGAGGGAATCCACTAAAACCAATGGAGTTAC